TTATGGTTAAATTACTGACAGGCTCAATTTCAAGTCCGTCTCTTCTGGCTGATGTAAGCTTTAATGTTCCCTCACGCGTATCAAGACACTTTTGTCCCATATTTCTGAAAGCTTGTAAAACCAATTTTGAATTGCACGACCCACTCCGTTGCTTATGCCAGGATTTTAACTCTTATTCCAGCACGTTTGATATATCAGATCCGCTTTTCAGCATTAAGAAAGCGATACTCTCCTCTCTCAATAAGTGAATTATTGACATAAATACATAAAATCAGCTGATGAATTTAGTTCTGTAGCTGAACAGTTTTAGATCTCGACACTTAACAAACTCCTGCCTATCGTGACTCGGCACAAAAATTTAAAATATTGGTTCCGTACGTCATGCGGACTGCGCCCCTCGTGCGGATGGGCGGGAATGGAGGGTAAAAACCGTTGGGATATTATTAACTGCGCATAGTTGGAAATATTTACAAGTTTCATTGTGTGATTACTTAAAATATTTGAACATACAGTTTTATATGCGAAAATACCTTTAAACACAGTAACACAAAATTGTTGTTTTTTTTTGGGGAAAATTGCTCTATTTCCAGTATTTTGGTGCTTTTTTAAATAAAAAACTTGGCGCTCAGGGCTGCCAACTTGGCTCAAACCGTGCCATTTTTGGCACTATTTTACTAGAAATGGCACTGAATTTTTCAATTTTGCACAAAATGCCAAAATGGCACTTTTGAAAAAAAGCCAAATTTAAATACATTTTTGTGAAATCCTTTGCGTGTACTTCTTTTTCTCAACTAAAATTTTCTAATTTCTATAGTGTATACAACTGGTTTATCTTACTTTGACATTGGGCTTTTGTTTTAATTTGTCTAATTTTAATGCTAATGGGAAGAACTAAAGAGAATGACACCTTTTTTGGCACTTTTAATTTTCTATTTGGCACGTTTTAGCACTTTTTTATCCTCAATATGGCACTTCATAGCTATGTATGTTTGGCTGCCCTGTTGGCAAATTTGATCACTAGCTGACCTTCACCGAGCTCTCTTTGCTGAGTTCGGACTACAAAAATGGAAGTAAATATCAAGTATTCGTAGTACATGTGCATTTCTTATCTTTATAAAAAACAATTCATTTCTCCTCGTATACTTGTACAAATAAGGAGCTAAAGCGGCCTTATAAGGGTCGATATCTGTAGACTGGAAAATCGACCAGCTAGTGGTTGAGATGTCATTTACACGGGTCGATTTCGGTTGAACGACAAAAATCTACTAGAAAATCGACCCGTGTAAAGGCGCCTTAATCCAGCGGGCGATTATCATTAAAGTTAAAATGCCTCGGTTAAAATTAACAAAAAGTTATTTCATTCTTTCTTTACCGGGACAATTGTTACATCAGTGGGCAATGACGCAATTACAGAACTTTAGACAGAGCAATATTTTTCGATCGGGTTCAAATCGGGCGATTGTGAGGGCCTATTCACGAATTCAAGTGTATTTGCAAAGTTGCTGTAGCTCACCAATGTAACTATCGTGTCGATAAAAAGGTAAAATATAACTTTTAGTTTGCTATTTAAAACCCCACCTCCTTTCTATTTGAAGAGTAAATTTGTTGATGCAACAAAACGGAGCAGATTTTCAGTTGAGCGAAGTAGAGGACTAGGTTTAAAATTTTTTCGACAAAACGGAACAAATCTACTCCTATCGGAGCGAAGTCCGAACGATGGCTTATTGTGTATATGTGTATTGTGTATTTGGTACACAAAGTCAGTATTACCGCAGCCGTACTGCGATATAAATAATTTTTTCGCAACTTTTCATACCCTTCCTCCCGTAAACTGTTTTTCCCTTTCTCCAGCCCGCGCTCGCACTTTCGCTACTGCGCGAGCAAAAAAGTGCCCATGTCTGGTATAGATGAAGGTTTTGATACAATGCAATCTTTTATTTGCCACTTCTACGGCTTAAAAAAATAGCTGATGTCAACCGAGCTAGAATAGAAATCTTCAATAAAACGTACAAAGTATCTGATATATCCCAGCCCTTTTCTTTGAACGTACGTAATTATGACGCCTGTAATTTGCCACCGTGCCAATCGGAGTTACTGCAGCACTTATTAAGAACGATATATTGCATGCTTGTGGAGGAATGCATACAAGTCAAACATCGTCAACATGGCACCAAAAGATTATGGATGGAAAGACTCAAATGGAAAATTGGAGATGACCTGGTTCGTTGGTGATCAATTACCAGAAGCTTATGAAGATGTTGTCATAACACCAGACATCCTAGGGCATTCAGGTATAATAGTTTGTCAATTCTATAACACACTTTTCACTAGATTTGTAAAAAAATATTGTCAATCACTTCTTGTTGCAGATGGGCAAGATGCAGAAGCAATTGACGACGAAGTCGAACCGGAGTTGTTGTATGATGATAGTTCCACGGATGAAAATGAAGAATAAAATACATATTTTACGCTTATAATAATATGTTTTTACTATTATATATTTTTGGTTGACTGTGCATATCAGAAACGAAATTATTTTTTTACACCGTCAGATAAAGAAAACTCCTCCAGATAACCGTCAGATTATGGAACAGCACGACCAGGGCATCGAGATGAACCTTCTGTATGAAAATCTGACGCGCTCGAGTAAATCCAAATGGCGTTTTTTTTGCATCTTCAAGAAGACGCCACGAGTTTGCGTCACATCTGAATCGTCAGATTATTGAATGGGAGGTTCATTCGTGTCCACTTAACATCCCTTGTGAATATCTGACGCGCTCGAGTAAATTTTTTTTTTACCCATTTTTGACCCTTCCGTACGCCCACCCCCACCATGCAAACCGGCAGATTAGCATATCTCCGTCATCAGAAACACTTTGATTTATTTTTTTTGACCCTTCCGTACGCCCACCCCCACCATGCAAACCGGCAGATTAGCATATCTCCGTCATCAGAAACACGTTTGATTTATTCACTATCAATATCTGACGCGCTCGAGTAAATCCATGTAACGGTTTTTTTTACATTTTCGGAAGCCTGTAGATTAGGGTGTCCCTTAAAAATCAACTTTCCAATTTATATCGAGAAGCTTTTTAATTTTGTTCCTCTTTAGTTTAAGATTATCCGTGCGTAGAATTGAACCTGTACTTAAAGTTTTGACCCTGCCACAAGGGCTTTTAAATCATTCCACTTTATTCAAATTTTGGTTTGGGAAAACTAACTACTACTTTCTTTAAAGTCCAAATTCGTGGCAACTGTTGTGCATGTTGGAAGTTCACTCATTGTGTATAAATATATTCTAGCATTAAACGTCAACATTGGCAACAGCACATAAGTTTGTCTCTTTCTATCTCTTGGCAACCGTTAACATAATACACTTGCCTTTATACAAAACGGTTTCACTGATTTGAACAAATATAAATGTAGCATCTTACCAATTAAATAGTGCCATTAGTTTCAACATCACTAGTAAGAAAGTATTTTTTTAATTTGTCGAAATAAACATGAGTTCAAGGGATCTCAAACTGCAGCATACTCTTTCACAGCGAAGGAGATAATGCAAGTATGGGAAAAAGCGCGTATTCCTACTCGAGTGAAAAGTTGTGTTGTAAGTCAGCTGAAAAGTTTGTATGCCGAATGGAGATCGCTCCAAAAAACAGCCAAACGACGTGATTCTACTCAAATTTCAAGAGAAGTTGCTTTTGAAAGTAAATTTGGTGACTTATTTGATATTGCTCCAGTGGACGTGATGATTCAAATGAAGAATGAAGAAGACAAAAAGTTTTTAATATTACAACGAGAAAAAGGACGTGTTGGTTGTATGGGTTCCGTTGATGTGAAGCTTCATAAGAAAGAAAAGCGAACAGCAGAAAGAGAAAAGAAAGCTATGAAAAGGAAGGAACGCTGGCAACAAAAAATGAAAATGGGTAAGTGAAATAAATTTTTTTCTTAATAATTTTATGGTTTTATCGTTTGTTTTGTAAAAATATTTAACTGTAAAATCTAATCACTGGAGGAAAGGATACAATTACGGCTGTGCAATTATTCGATTTCTTGAGAAAGTTGGTTGATCAGTTGTTTGGTTATCACTTACTCCAATAATCAAGATTTTGATTACTTAATATATGATTAATATGTGATAAATTTAATCTTTTAATGATCTATTCATCGCGCAGTCCTAATTTTTAATGATTGTGTTCACAGATGCCCAAACTGCCCCCACAGATTCAGCTGGATCAGACAATGCTGATTCCGTCGCGGAAGATCAGTCACATTCTGATGAAGCTGAGATTCCCTCCACCCAAGGATTGAGTACCTCCAACAACTTGATAGCAGGAACTGAAAAAAAGAAAAGGGGACGAAAAAATGCAATGTCGTCAAAATTGGCAAACATACTGGATGCTTCTAAAGTAAGCATTAGATCAGGGACAAAAATAGTTTTTTGCGCTGCTGAAAATTTCGACGTTAATACGTCTGAAATAAATGTGAACAAGAGCTCCATACACCGGGAAAGAACGAAATATAGAAATCAATCTGCAGAAAAAATTAAAAATGATTTCATAGAAAAACTTCCAAATAATTGGAAGTTAATGGTCCATTTTGACGGCAAGAGGATGAAATTAAGCGACGGAACTGTAATGGAACGATTACCCGTGTTGGTAACTGGGCCCGCAATAAAAGAGCAGTTGATTGGCTCTCCGTCCCTTCCAGATGGAACGGGCCCTGCGCAAGCAAATGCAGTTGTTCTTTTACTTGAAAAATGGGGACTTTGTGAAATGGTGCAAGCTGTTTGCTCAGATACGACGATGTCAAATACAGGTAAATTCATGTCAAATGAATATCTCTAAAATGCATAAAATTGCCGCAATAGTTGGTTTAAACAAAATTTTTAATAGATATGTATTTTTTTCAATAGGACAGAGGAACGGTGCATTTGTTTTAATAGAGAAACAGCTAGGAAGAACACTGCTTTACTTCGCTTGCAGGCATCATATGGCAGAGATTATCTTGAAGAGTGTGTTCGAAGTTTCTGTTAATGTGTCTTCAGGTCCAGAAGTTTCCATTTTTAAAATATTTCAAACTCAGTAGCCCACTATTGACCAGAAAAAAGTTCTTAATTGGTATAGCACATAAGAACATTCCTTCAATCCTACGAGAAAAATCAAACGAAATACTTCAGTTTGTGCAGCAAAAATTAACTGTAAGTTGATCTCTATTATTTTAATAGCCATGTTAAACAGTATATTATTTCGTGTCATGTTTTAGGAAGATCATTGCCGAGACGACTATAAAGAGTTGCTGGAGCTTGTATGCATTTTTTTGGGAGGTACACCGCCACGAGGGATAATTGGTGCGATTCATGAAGCTCGTTTCATGTCAAAAGCAATTTACTCGCTAAAAATTGTCATGTTTAAGAAACAAATAAAGTTGACAGCCAAGGAAGAAAAAGGATTGACAGCAGTGAGTGTATTTGTTGCTGTACTCTAGGTAAAGTACTGGTTTACTGCAAGTGACGTAATAAATGCGCCTCGAAACGACTTTCAATTTTTATTAGATTTGAAACTCTATGAGAAGACTGATAACTTAATTTCCAATACGGCTTTAAAGAAATTCAGTGGACATTTATGGTACATAAGTCAGGAGCTAACCGGATTAGCACTCTTAGATGATGGTATGCACCTTTCAGTTAAAAGTAAAATGGTGAAAAAGATTTTGACAAAGACCTCCCGGAGTGAACCACCCTCTTCAATGGCAATGGAGGGTTCCGGGTTACAACGCCTAAAAGTAACATCGCAAGACCTCAATAACTAGTTAAAAAAGGATTTGAGTGATTTCGTTACTCCGAATACTATTAAACTCTTTGAAAGATTTGGATTGGAATTCAGTTTCTTACACTCTGATCCTGGAACCTGGAATTTGCGAAAAGACTTTAGAGAAGTTTTTTTCAAGTTTGAGTGTAACTAACGATGTTGCAGAAAGAGGTGTGGCTTTGACGCAGGAATATATCGGCCAAGTTAAGTCCGAAACAAATTTCCAGGATTTACTTATTCTATCCCAGGCCTCACGTCTTGAGTTTTCAAGTTGTACTAAAGAATCTTTATCCAAAGACGCGTTTTGAAATTACTCGTATATTATATAATATTTGACAAATATTGAAATTTCAAACTACCAATTATATAAAAACACACATGAGAAAAAATCAAAAATTGTATTTCTTACATAGATATCTGTGTTCGCATGGAATAATAGGAAGCTGGCTTTAGTATAATGTGGCATTACCTTTATTCGTTAAACAAGACGGAATTTTTTTATGAGACTTAATAAGAATATTGACTTCCGATACAAGGAACTGTTTCTTGCATGTTTATTTGCCAAAAGTTCTTCAGCGACACGTCGCTAGCGAGTCATTCGCGATCGTACGCTCCGAATGCTGCCTTATACTAAAGCCAGCCTTTCGACATAAGCTACTTTTGCATATGAACTTTAAACTTCTTGTGGCAGGGCGAAAAATTTTGTGATCAAGTTGAGTTTGACCGCAAAAGTTATGGAATTTAAGAAAGAAAAAAATAAAAAAAAAACTTCGGAAGGAATGCCATTCAAATTTGGAAAATCGGTATTATAAGGGACACCCTACTGTAGATCCTCCACCCGCCGCTGAAAGGAAAAACACCACATGACCTTTTTTTGTTCCTATCATCTAATCTTCAAAATCCAATAGGTCCCCACGACGCTCGAGTAAATCCCGATTTAGCATCGTGGGCTCCCCTACTATAATGACGGCAGCGATATATACAAAGCTTTGTCAGTTTACACGTTTAATTTCCATTAATTCTCGGATGCAAATATATTGCAGTTTATAAGCTCCAACTATTTTGCGATGAATATGGATTTACATACATACATCCGTATGTATAGCTTTAATTTTTTATATTTTAATAAGTTGTACATACATATGTACATTACACTGCATCACTCCCCATATAAAAAAAAATCGGTACTATTTTTCCACTAGAATTATAAAATCTATTATATTTTAAGACGCCCACCAAAATATTTCGGAAAAATATTAAGATCTAAATGAGCTGGACCGATTTGAAAATACCTCCAAAAATGGAGTTTTTTATGAATAAAAATAGTTTCTTAAAGATTTTTTTTGAAAAAATCCCCTCAAATGACAAAACGGTTTAGGCTTAAAATATTTACATAAAAATATTTAAAAAAAAATTTAAAAAAAATTTTAACGGAATCGTAATGATGGGATTTTTGATGCTGTTTTTTAACTTTTTTCAATAATTGCTATAGGAAAAACTTGAATAACTGAACCTAAACTCTTCCGATTTAGACTTGAGAGGTGTCATTGGAAAGGTATTTTCTCACCCTTTTTATTTCTTTGCTAATAAACTCATTCAAAGGATGGAAGAGAAAGATAGGATGAACGAACGTCATTCAAAGTTGAATTAAGATGTGTTGGTACTCGAAGAAAAAAGATGGGACACGAATGACGTTTTTTGGCCAGAAATAAAAACAGTGTGAAAATACCGTTCTACTGGGATCCCATAAGTTAAAATCAGAACATTTTTGGCCCAGTTAATCAAGTTTTTCGTAAATCAATGTTTGAAAAAGTAAAAAAAACAGCATCAAAAATCTCATTCTTACGATTCCGTTGAAAAGATTTTTAAATATTTTTATGCAGATTTTTTAAGTTTAATCTAATTTGTCATCTGAGGGGACTTTTTTCAAAAAGTCCTTTAAGAAACTATTTTTATTCATAAAAAACTTCATTTTTGGGGGTATTTTCAAATCGGTCGAGCTCACTTAAATCTTAATATTTTTCCGAAATATTTTGGTGGACGTCTTAAAATATAATAAATTTTGTAATCCCGGCGGAAAAACCGCAACTTTTTTTGGTGATGCAGTCTAATGTACATACACAACATGTAAATATGTGCAAAATTATTGATATTTCCAATTAAGATTTATTTCGAAATAATAATTGTAAAATTGCCTGTTTCGACCTATTTTTATGCAACACTGCGTTTGTATTTTACAGTTCAAGGCGAATTTATATAAGATGGTGTTACTAGATCAGCTGATTTTGTGTATGTGTTTCGCCTCACGGCTTCTTATGCAGGGTTGCCGCGCATAATTTTTAGTGGGAGCCAAATTCCTTTAAAAAAAGGGCTAAAAAAGAGCTAAAAAAGTCGTTGTGGCTAAAAATGGTAGCTAAAATTTTTTACTTCACTTTTCAAAAATTGGCGTAGCGTCTGCTGGAGGAGATTGGCAAACGCTTCTACATTTAATTCAATTAAAGCAAATTTATATACTAATTTCTTTATCTTTTCAGATATCTACTGCATCAAGAAATTTGGAGGCATCAATATTTGGTAAGTTTTCAAAAGATATAAAACCTGTTACCGTTGCTCCAGGATTTGCAGGTTTCACGTGAACAGCTTCTCTTCTAAATCTTGTAAAACCTGTAAATCCTAGAGTACCTGGAACAGGCTCTACGTATGTAGGTATGTTTGTATATGTTCTAATTAATTTGTGGTCGACTTGTTTTCAGGATCAATATGGTCAACCAAGCATGCAACGTGGGCTGTCCATTAGGTGTACCATTGTATCCTTTTCCTCCGCACAGGGAAGTGGTCAGATAAGTGTATAACTTGCATACATTACATTTCTTCAAGATTTCGGCTGGCGCAATTCACCTCGGCAGGACAGTCAGAGGATGTATTAGTTGTATCTATGTATTTACAAACATAAATCTGATTATTGAGTGACTTTAAGTAAAAGTGCCTGCGTAAAAATCGAGTTTTCCAATTGCGTCTGCAAAAAGGTTAGAGAATGTGTGTGTGCAATATGTGTTTGATGCAATATAATAAGCCAGTTCCAGGTACTTCAGGATTTTACAGGAAACTGTTCCCGTACGGCATAGGATTCCTTAAGGGCGAAAACAGGGCATGAATCACGTATGACGACAATCGTCTGGACGATATCGTGCTGATATTGTCTTGTTTCATGAAAACCAAAAATTGTTCGATCGTTTGTGCGAAATCGTTCACTCAATTCCAATTTTGCGTCACGTAACAGTAACACGTAACAGCAACACTAATACATGAATCAGTGTTTTGACGTCATCGTTTTGTCAGTATCGTTTGAACGACAATCGTTTCAAAGTTACGTGATTCATGTCCAGCTTTCCTCTAAAACCTGCAAATCCTCAAGTGCCTGGAAGATTTTTTTTTTTTAGTTTTTTAAGCGGTCCTTTCGATAATCTGTACATATACAATGCTAATAATTTGGATTTTATTAAGTTTGTCAATTAATAAAATAATATTTGTATTTATTATTTTTAACATATTTTTTTAATAAAATATAGTGCATGCTACAGCGAAAATCAAATAACTAAAAGCTTTAAACTTCTTACAAGATATATAATAATTCTACGAAGTTCGAAAAATGGACATCAAAATTTCAAACTTTTTTGTCAAATTATCATAAACCTTATACAATGTTTAAAGCTTTCAATTACATGATTTTTGTTGTAGAATGGGGGCACCGAAATTGCGCATATGGAAACTGTGCATTTAGACATTATTTCGGTTTCAACCGAAACTGTGCATGTATGCTTTATTTCGGTTTTTACCATATGCATTATTTCGGTTTTAAACCGAAACTGTGCATGTATGCATTACTTCGTTTTTTTTCATATGCATTATTTCGCTTTTAAAACGAAAGTATGCATATGCATAATTTCGGTATTTTCTCATATGCATTATTTCGGTTTTCAACCGAAACTGTGCATGTATGCATTACTTCGTCTTTCACATATGCATTATTTCGGTTTTCAACCGAAACTGTGCATGCATGCATTATTTCGGTTTTTGTTATATGCATTATTTCGGTTTTCAACCGAAACTGTGCATGTATGCATACCTTCGTCTTTCACATATGCATTATTTCGGTTTTCATCCGAAACTGTGCATGCATGCATTATTTCGGTTTTTGTTATATGCATTATTTCGGTTTTCTAACGAAAGTGTGCATATGGATAATTTCGTTTTTTCTAATATGAATTATTTACTTCTACTTAGTAAGGGTTTTAATCCCTAAGCGCGGCTGAAAGCCGCCTACGCAGAGAAAAGTTCTGCGCAAAAATACGTCCGCCCTTCTTTTCCGGCAATACAGAAAGGAGAATTCTACTTAGTAAGGGTTAAAATCCCTAAGCGCGGCCGAAGGCCGCCTACGCAGAAACAAGTTCTGCGCAAAAGTACTTCCGGCCCCCTTTTCCGGCAACACAGAAAGGAGAATTCTACTTAGTAGGGGTTATAATCCCTAAGCGCGGCCGAAGGCCGCCTACGCAGAGAGAAGTTCTGCGCAAAAATACTTCCGCCCTTCTTTTCCGGCAACACAGAAAGGAGAATTCTACTTAGTAAGGGTTATAATCCCTAAGCGCGGCCGAAGGCCGCCTACGCAGAAAGAAGTTCTGCGCAAAAATACTTCCGGCCCCGTTTTGCGGCAACACAGAAAGGAGAATTCTACTTAGTAAGGGTTATAGTCCCTAAGCGCGGCCGAAGGCCGCCTACGCAGAAAGAAGTTCTGCGCAAAAATACTTCCGGTCCCCTTTTCCGGCAACACAGAAAGGAGAATTCTACTTAGTAAGGGTTATAATCCCTAAGCGCGGCCGAAGGCCGCCTACGCAGAAAGAAGTTCTGCGCAAAAGTACTTCCGGCCCCCTTTTCCGGCAACACAGAAAGGAGAATTCTACTTAGTAAGGGTTATAATCCCTAAGCGCG